ATATTTGTATCTTTACTATCCATCACTAGTTTTTTATACACAAGATGGACATGTTAGATTTGCGTTAGTGAAGAATCACGACACATAACTTATACATATCTGAGTGTGACTGAATCTACATTTACTTCCGCACACAGGATGCCAGATCAAATCTTTCCTTTGAAGACCTCACTAAATCGCTGGACGAGAACACAGAACTTACTCGGCATGTTATCAAACAACTGCTAACAGAGCTGGGCCATTTGTTCATAGTCAACAACGGCTATAGAGAGCCACAACCCCCACCCCGCCGGGGTAGACGGTCTCGACTATCGAGTTTATATAGTGAGTTGCTATGATATGTGTTCTCCTTTCGGGCACAATCCATTGTTTTATAACTTTGGTTATTGGGCCGATTCTTGTGTATATCTGTGGTGGCCATATCTGCCAATTTTACCTAGAATATCTATCGCTGTTCTGGAATTTGTACCAGTATATAGCACTTTCTACCGTTGTTTTATATCTCCACTTACTGAGTTATTGCGGGGGGGTTCCTTCTGTTGGGCTTCGGCTGCACAGATCCAGACAATGATACTGGCAACAATGCAGCTTTTGAATCTGCATACTTGGGCAGCTATCTAAGATTCCGCGATTCCCCTCATTTGTAAGTACCACAGTTAAAAGTCACTACATACTCGTAACTATGTATATAGGTTCACCTGTATGAGCATTCCTCTGCTCGGCTATGCACGCTTCTATTCATCTATGCTTTCTGTATGCACTCAGGCTTGGTTCCTGCACACACGGATCTTGTGGGCCTCATGTCTGTTACATTCTGTGTGCGTACTCCCTACATATATACTGATCCGTTTGTTCACCTGCTTCCAATATCCGAGAGCACATACTCATACGTTCATGCCTCTGCCTCGTTAGTACGAAGGGTACCACATCATCACAAACCCATGGTTGTTCTAATCTTACAGTGCGTATTTTCTACACCCTCGCGAATTTGCGGGCCATACCGCACTGAGAAACGAACCATTGTTTGTTGTATTTGTATACTGACGCCTTCGCAACGAACTCGACTTGTCGCATTCGCATCTCGACGCCTCAGTTTCCCACCACTCTCCCAAAGGGCCGGGTGTTTCATTCGTAGAATATGCCGTTTATTGATAGATGTCTATTTTAATCGTTTGTGAATCGATGATTTACTACTAGTTATTGAATTCTGATTGCTGTCCAGGGGGGGAGTGCTTGTACCTCCCGGAGTTTCAACCTCTGCGAATGGGCCTGAAACTGAGGACACACTCTCGCGCTCGCCCTTATTTCGGTATGTATTCCCCCACTCTACCTTAGTTAGATGTATCCAAATGGGCTAGACGAATGTTTTAGGATTTGGCTGTTTCAGTCTCAATCTACTTCGCCCCCGTGAGAAATTGAAACACATTGGTAGGCTCGCCAGGTTTGGGTCCAATAAGCCAATTGGAAGGTACATACTTCAATTACAACACACCCATCGCCCCCCAAGTGCTCAGATAGCGATACTAGTGTGCAACGAGACCGATATATACATGGGTATGCTAATCCAGCACCTACTGTCATGACTGATATGAAATGAAATGAAATGCATGCACTAATCTATCGAGATTTGTATACACAAAACATGCTTCACAACAGCCGGATGCTGAGAGAGAGAAACCGAAATACGTCGGTGTTGATGGAGCCGGACGATGACTTTGGCGATGTGAATGCTTTTTTGCATCCTCCTTGGGGTCAGCAGGCCAATTCCTGGATGCAGTCCTCCATGGGTATGACTATATTTATCGTAGTAGTGTACTATGCTCACCCATATATGCAAACATCCATGCGTATTTGCACGTATTCAGGTGCCCGAATTCAAGTATATATACCTGGGGCGGGATGGATGTATAGGACACGTATGCTGCTCATTTGAGCACACACTTCCGGGTTTAACGGGTTGTTCGATCGCATTGCAGTTCATACGTTAGATGCCCCTTGTCTCAAATGTACTACCACCAATCGTACACGCCATTCATATAACAATATGTGATGAATTACATACCTGCAAGTCGTCGATATAGTTGATTATAACCAGGTTAGCAGCAGGCATGTCTATGCCACCAATATACCACTTAAAATTTCTAATTGTGTGCGTTTACACTTCATGCCTGAGCCTTCGTCCGTATATCATTTTTCTGTTATTACGAGTAACTGCATCCTGGTTCAAACCGGTCGTCACTCTCTCTATACGCCAATACTCTAGTGTGGGCAAACAGATAACACGTACTATATCTTCATCACTTCCTGTCTTTGTGCACCTTCAGGCGAGCCATCGCATTGGGGAAACTCGCGCTATCGGAGGCCACTGAGCTCTAACATACCGCCACGAAACGCACACACACACACACACACACCGCGACAAACGGATCTTACAAGCATCCAAAACCGCACCGCAGCTCTAGCAGCAGACACAGCACAGGCAAACACAGATGCGCGAGAATGGGACACTCTGACTCTCACATCGGCGATTAGGGAGGACATTACCAATCTGAGGGATGATGTTGCGGTGACATACGCGGATGCGGCCGCGGCTGCGGCTGCGGCTGCTGAAGTAGATGGTATTGACAGGATGGGTGTAGATGTCCCTGCGAATGCAACGCAAGTAAGGTCGAGTGTGGACAATGGACCAGTCTCAGCGACAGCAAATACCGGCACACGCACGGGTAGCACGGGTACAATCCCGGTTAGTGGCAATCACGACCGTGTGGATGCAACTGAGGATTCGGGTGCAAACCCTAACCGAGCTGCAAGCACGCACAGAGCCACACGCGATCCGTTGGCCTACCGACCAAGCGATTGGGACGATGCCGCTCGTGAGGCAGGAGACCCACACCCGTTTGGCACGGGCAATTCGTCATCGGAGGTCGCCTTCGCGTTAGCGGTGCAACGGTGGCAGGAAGTCTTTCACCGAAATGCGCCTCGTGTGATGGGTGCAGGCTATTTTCGAGACCGCGTTGACCCATTAACCGATCTGCACCGAATACGGGCGACGCTTGCAGAATGGAACGCAGACAATTTATCGGACAATACGACTACACGTCGTACAGACGCATATGGTCCGGCAGCGCGGGAGATCCACGCCCAGACACGGCGAATGATTCGCGCGTGGGAGAGTCACGCTCAGACACAGCGAGACATTCGCGCGCGACACGAGCGCCAGGCGCGCAACGGTAGCACCGTTGACGGCCTCGGACCTGATGGGGTGGACTATAGCCGGCCCGGATGGAGTGGTGGGACGCTCCGACAGTATATGGAGCAGTTTGAAAGTACGCCTGCTCTGCCTGCTCTGGATTTAAGTGGTGCAGATCGACCCATTGGGATAGGCAGTGAGTCGGCTCGGTCCGCTGCGGAGGCCAGGGCGCGACTGGCCAGAGCAAGGCTGCTGGGCGTGAGTCCGTTTTTACCTACCCTGCCTAGCACACGCGAAACGAATACGAATACGGATACGCATACTAGGAATGCGAATACAAATACGGCGACATACTCAGAAGTAGCTAGAGGAGAAGGTTTACCAAGCGCGGATAGACGCATAAATAGCACCGTAAGCACAGACCGACACGCCCCCAATCCCGGCCACCCGCAGCATCCGCCCACAGAATTGGTGACAAGCAACAGTGAGAATCCGTTCACTACATATGCTAATGAATTCAGCTACACCGACTACGACCCGTTGAACCTTGGGGTGGTCAGAATGTTCGACGAGGATTGGGCCGACCCCCTGACTGTCGCGTTTAATGCGTCGGAGGCAGGGCCTCCCGACGAACAGGATAGCGCGACAACCAATCAGATGGCTCCGATAAGCGTAGTAGAGAATACCGGGACCTCTGCCGTCGCGGTTACAGGTACGAGTGGGGGAGGGCGAGATGGAGAGAGGACCGCTCATGGAAATTCTCAGCCAAATGCAAGCAGAGGCATGGATGTAGTAGTCACCGGCATATCTGATACAGACACGAATCCAAACGCAGACCCGAATGCGGATGTACACGCCGAGTGTGGGACAGAGGATACAACAGTGGGAAGTAGTGCAGTCCCAGGTGAGTCTCACGAGACCCGCGTGCGTACGAGCGATGCTACAGATACGCACCACAGCGTATTCGAAGGAGCTTATAATGTGACCACACCACAGCTGACACACACACACACGGTGAGTGAGACGAGTGACGACTCTACCGAACGAGAGGCGGTGTACACGCTGTCCACACTACACAGTCGGACTGTGCCCAGCGCAAGCAATGGAAGAGATGGTCGAGACGGTGGCGATGTGCCCAGTGCGAGGGCGGTGGGGGTTGCGAGTGATACATCCCAGGCAGGGCATACAGCTGGAGTGGAAGTGGCAGAAGATACGTCCAGCTCAAGGGACGTGTACAACACAGAGAACGCAATCAACCGTAGTGCATCTGATGTAAGGGACGAATCGGATACGAGCCATACCCTCGAAGCGGCAAGAGCCATTGTTGAGGTCGGTGTGGGTGAAGTACCGCTGACGGAAGACAAGTGCACTGTCCCTGCGAGCAACGATACCGTTGCTATGATAGCAGGAGTTATAAACACAACACCTGCAATCAACGACGCCATGGCAACTGGAGGGGATATGGACACAACCACCGATGTGGTTGTCATGGCAACGGGGGACCCTGGTGTAGTAGCTGAACCAAGCCATTTGGCAAATACAGGTATTGTTACGTCTACTGGAAGTACGGACACACAAAGGGCCGATCCAGATACGCAAGTTATAGTTTCTTCAGATATCTCTGCCTCACTAGCGCCAGATAGCACTACAGGCAACGTAGGGGCCGTTACTAGTAATGTAGGTACCACCACAGGCGATGCAACCGTCACTGCAACTGATGCACGCAATGCACGAGTTTCTGACAGGCAGGATGGTGGTAGTAGGGCCTTGTCAACAGCAATGGACAATCTGGTCGATAACACTACGAATGCGAATGTGAATGCGAATGCAAATGCAAATTCGAATATAAATACGACCAATCCACCAAATACGACGCTGGACCGGCCCGAACCAATGGATGGGACAGATGCGATGGACGTGTATGGAATCACCAGCGAGGCGCTGGGGAGTGAATACGTCGGACCTCCACCGGACACGACAGCAAATGCACCGGACGATCCGACAGTAAATTCAGACAATACGACATATCCAGACACGGGCCTTACCCAGGCCTGGTATGCCCCTCCGTCCCCCCCGCTGGCATATATTCGCAGGCGCTCACGCACAGTCAGCGAAGCTCGCGCCCGACTGGCGGTGATGGGACGGCTGCGAGACGCTTCGAGAAGAGATTCAATGGGGCGCTACATACCACCACACGAGCGGGATATAATCACGCCCACGCACATACACCCACACCCACACCCCTTGTCACGAGATGCCTCATCGCGACGGAGGACGTGGCGGGCGTACGCACTGTCGGAGTCTCGGCAAAGGCGTTTGGCGACACAGACACGCGCACAGAGAGAGGGGGAGGACATAGAGAGCACGCGCAGTCGGCTCAGGCTGAGGCAAACGTCGGCCTGGGCCGATGCATATATGTGGTATCGTGAACGGCAGTTGCAGTACAGGCGCGTGGCGGGTGCGCCGCCGGCGTCTACAGGCGACAGGAGTAGGTACAGCTTCGCCTCCCGAGGCCCGGAGACCGCCCGAGAGGGGAGAACGATGAGTTTAGCGAGACAGCCAAGTGTCCACGGACTGAGTCGAAGAACATCGTTCATGTACCCCCAGATCAGCTTATCTCGTCAGGACATCGAACGCGATGTGGCGCTAGTGTCACGACCCGCAGCACTGTCCAATGATACGTCGGCAAGTGGTTTGGCAGCTGAGGAGGGCGAAGTGCAGGCCTCCCCACCACAATCAACTGCAAACCGCAACGGAGTGGGAGTGGATGCACGTGCTCTACCAATACCACAACCGCAGGACGGATCACGTGTACAGAGCCACCAACAGGACACGGCACGTGGTCAATTACAACCGCGCAGTCGCACTCACACTCACACTCGCAATGCGCAGAGGAATCGGCTGAGTGGTTCGCCATACACACGGTGGCAACCATTGCCGCTCACGCACACTGCACACCCGCTCGAACGAGGTGACGGTGAGGAACGAGGGATCGGTTCTGGTAGTAATACACGCCGAAGGACACTCTCGGGTAGTTTGGCTACGTCTGATTCTCAACGACCGTTGCAGATAGGTGGGTTTGTGGTGCAGCAGGGGGCTATCGATAGAGTACAGCCAGGGTTGACGGCGGCAAATAGAGCGGATGATAGGCGAAATGGGGATACAGGTGCACATACAGACGCAGATACGCGCGTGCAAGCGCCTGGGTCGATGCAGAATACCACTGGTTCGTTGAATGATGCAGACGGGAACGGGAGCAGTGAACCTTGACGGCAAAACAAAACCTGTTTTGTAGCGCGACGAAAGGTCGGTCGTACGCGGTATATAGCACAATTCACCCCTTCAATATATTGAAGGTACGTTTCATAGTGCAATGTGAAGTACTCAACGAAAAATTGAACAGATGCGTGCCATATTATCAGTCGCCTTCAATATGCCACCATCTCCAAGATTGTATGACCATGTTGGTGGTATAGTCCTAGTCCCACATACCTTCCACTTTAACAGGTGAACTAGGTTTCTGCATGCTACTGGGTACACTATAATATGCAGGTTGACCAGGATGGTATGGTTAAAGTCAGAAGCTTCCAGCTATCCCACTATAACAGGCCGCTGTCTATGTCCTGTAATCGTCGTTTGTGCCATTTTGTTTTCTAAAGTAACACCGCCTTTCCAGTTCAATTCTAGTATTCCATTATATTACAGCTGGTACGTATTCTTTGGCATGGTCTTTGAATGCGTTGTCAACAATTCAAAATTGTTGACCAGCAGTGCGCTTACAAGTCTTCTCACAGACAAAAAAATACAAGCTTGACACGCATCCAAATGAAGAATGTTTGTTTTATTCCAATTCCCACACTATACAGTATCCGACCTAGTAGGCTGGATAGTGGTAATGAAGACGACTGATAGTAGTCGTTTCTCTAATATACTAGCTAAAGATGTTCCCTTCAAATCCGATTCCAATAGTCAGATCATTCCTAAGTAGAAATTGCATCATTCTCTCGTTTGCAAGTAGGTAGATGGTAGCATTCGTAATCCAGCACAGAGCACCTCATAGTTGCATGCCCACGCGACCATTGTCAGATACACACACACACATATATATATATATATATATATGTTTATATACGGTTCACTGGTGTCATTTAAACTTCGAACTCTGTCATGCTGGCATCATCTGTCTGTGTCACTACATCGGTTTGCACCATGGATAACATATCAGCACTATCCATTTCTATCTCTGGGTACTTTTGCTCCACTTCAAAGTGTGCACCTTGACCAGTCTCGTCAACTGATGACCAGGGTCCGAAATTACATACGCACGTAAGACCTTCCATAGCAGGGCCTACTCCCGGAGTGTCATCAGGCCAGAAATAGGTAGGCAGTCCACCGAACAACACACCCTCATAGGCAGAAATAGTAACATATCCGTCCATTCGGAAGATAGAATCCGCTGGAACCGAATCGTCGAAGCTAACTGCACAACCTGCGTCTGTCTCCACATACGGCCAATTAGGACCTACAAATTGGGCCATGCCATCATACGAAACGTTCGTTGCTAGCTGGATCGAGTCGGGCTCATAGTAGTATACACACTTTGAATCTGTTGTTGCTGGTCCACCAAGCGTATCACCGGCACGGGCGTTTGTGATTATGATCGCGGGGAGGTCTGCCCCGTTCGCAGGCACATTCGAGCCGTAGTCGATATTTTCTAGTAGCGACAGCATGATAGCACAGGTTGGTTCGGCAACGGAGGCCTCTTCGGAGGCAACTGTATCGATTCTATCACTTTCCATCTCGGGAAGGCTTTGTTCGACCTCGAAGTGTGCACCTTGCCCTGTCTCATCGACTGAAGACCAGGGTCCGAAATTGCACACGCATGTAAGACCCTCCATAGTAGGTCCTACTCCCGCAGTGTCATCAGGCCAGAAATAGGTAGGCAGACCACCGAACAATACACCCTCATAGACAGAAACGGTAACATAGCCGTCCATTCGGAAGATAGAATCCTCTGGCACCGAATCGTCGAAGCTAACCGCACACCCCATATCAGTCTCCACATATGGCCAATCAGGACCTACAAACTGAGATAAACCATCGTATGAGGCATTAGTTGCTAGCTGCTCTGAATCAGGCCTGTAGTAGTACACACACTTTGAATCTGCAGTAGCTGGTCCACCAAGCGTATCTCCCGCACGGGCATTTGTGATTATGACCGCGGGGAGGTCGGCTCCATTCGCAGGCACATTTGGGCCGTAGTCAACGTCTTCTAAGAGCGAAAGCGTGATATCACAAGCGGCATCAGCAAATGTGGCCAGTGCCGCCATTGATGCGACCATGGTTCGAGTGTACATCATATCGATCGTGAATTAAACAATTTTCTAGGCGTTCCTTATCAAAGGTGAAAGGTGCTTATGAATGAATATGATATCAAAAGCATACAGTCAATTTATACTATTTGGCCAGTCTCGATCACATACGGAACACGTGCGAGCTAACCAGTAATTGGTTGACACAAGTACGAGGAGTATTTGCATGGCGAGGTTACCAAATAACTAAAAATGTTTGCGACACTGGGACCTGAGTATTCGGTATTTCAGAAACGCGCTGTGCTTCATTTTGTTTATTTATTTAAATTTTAGAAAACATAAATAGAAATTGAAAACAAAAACAATCATATGCATGATTTTTTAATATTATTAAATTGATGAAAGAGTATCAACAAAAGATAGATCTTTGTATGTAAATAACATCTATTTAGAAATTAGCAAGTTATTGTTTTAAAAAAATATTTATTTTGAAAAATGTCATTGTGGTTCAATGATGGACACTTGACTTGGCTTGTGTTGCGAGTCTGGCAGGCTGGCGGCTGGCCGCTCTCTACTCTAGTCTGGCCCTCAGAGGGCTTCAGGGCTCCTATGTCTAAAGCCTAAGGCATTCAGGGTTCAGGCCTCAGAGGCTCAGCCCCTCACTCACAGTCACACTCACTGTCTTACAGTCACTCGGCATTTCCTCTTGTTGAGGGTTGAGGCCGCTTGAGCTCCCTTCGAGCCCTCACTCTCACAAGTCTCTCAGTGACCGGCAGTCTGCGGCACTGCGAATCTGCGATGGGTAATTTTAGTTTTTACCGGCACCGCGAAAACACTCGCCAATTCGCCATTGCCATTGGCTTCACCGAACGTTTCCTGATCCACAACCAATTGGGTTTATATTTTAAAACTTCATATTCTACTTCCCAGAATCCCAGAGGGGAGGCCAGGACTCAGGACTGAGCAGTGAGGACTGAGGACTGAGGACAGTCAACAGTGTGAGTGAGTCCTGAGGAGCGAGGTCTGAGGACTCGTTACTGAGGAGTCCTGAGGACCCAGAGCCCAGACTCCCGGTCCCAGAGTCCCCCACAGCTGCGATATTCTAATTCTTCACGTGAATTTGAAAAAACAAAAAAAACATTTGTCGTTTTTAAAGTTTTATTTCGTCCGTCAAATGTCAAAAGTCAACTACCAAATGTCACTGCCAGGCGCCAGCTGTCAAACAGTCAAATGTCAAGCTACAAGCAACTTTCTATACTATTCTGTGCTCTCATTGCTCTGAACCTCTAACAGCATTCTCTCTTGATTAATAACCAATAATAACATCGTTTTTCAGTTGTGGTATGCCAATATTAAACTTGCATAGCCCCCGGCAGGCCGGCACCATAGCCTTCTAAAAACAAAAGCAACCTTTTTTAGGGTACATTTTTGGGAGACACGCCGAAAAGGAAAAAATGGGTGCATAAATATTGCGCTCAAAAGTTGATGACTCATAGTACAATATTTGGTACTAAAATAGAATAAAAGCTGTAAATATGTGTGTATTTGTGTTTACAGTGGTTGAGTGTGCTTACAGGGATGGTGTTGTGTGTAGTTGCCACGTGCAACAGTCGTACATACGATGTTAAAGATGGCAAGAAGATCTCGTTTTTTCGTATCCCAGCACTGAAAGGCTATCCAAAGGCGAGAAATGGGAAAGCCGCACAGCTTGCGAGACGTAAAATTGATGTGAACAATGCGACGCGAGCGAAATTGATCGAGGGGGTACTTTAGATCCTTTGTTGCAATTGAAGGTCGGACGGCCAAACAAGTAGAGGAAATGTTCTGGTTGAAAGATATACATCGTGTATGTAGTATACACTTCTATTCTTCGGTTCTCAAGGTGAAGGAGAACGGAGAGATTGGGACCATGATCGGCGCATCGCCAACACTGTATTTAAAACCGATCAATATCAATGGCGAAGTTTTGATTGAAATAAAATCTCGTAATCGGCTGCTAATAAGGTACGAAGAAATGATAGAATTAGAGGGTGCTGAGTCGATATTAGAGCCAAACCCTACAGCCGAAATTTAGAGGGCTATGTAAAAACCGCTAAAATTTTGCGCGGAGTATTCCAGTAAATAAATGCGTGCTGTGAGCTGTCGCCTGTCGGTGAGTTGGTGAGTCGGCGTCTCGTAGACTCGGTGAATACTGAAACCAAATTTCATCGATTGTTTTTTTTTTGAAACAAGAGCAAAAGATCTACACAAAAACATATACAATTGTTTATTTAAAAAAAATTTATTTAGATCTTTGTATCGACTATCGTACAACAAGTACAATAAATGGGCTAAAATCACGCTAATTACATCATAAAAGCAAAGTAAACTCAAAAAGTATTAGTATGAGATTGGTATGAGGTGGTTAATAATTTTATTGTCACCAGGGCCGTATAAAGACATTCAATGTAGCCTCCTAAGGAAGAATGTGTGACTATGTGAGACTGTGAGCCGGTGAGGCTACATATGTGTATTTTTCTTCTTCAAGTTGTTTATTTTCTATTTTATATTTGGTGTACTCGATGCTCCGCTATAAAGGAAAAAAACTAAAAACTAAAGTCGATTTTTAAATATACCTTGTGATTGAGATTCTAAAAATCGGGTTTATACGTAGTGGGGTTAGGGGCTAATAGGGCCCTGCTATGTACTCTCTCTCTCTAGGGGTATGTATTTATTTGGCAAATTGAAAAGAAGCCAAACTGCCTAAGAGCCCTTTATAGGGCACATAAATATTTACCAGCTGAACTTCGGCTGAATAAAAATAAAAGCCGACACATTTTGTCATTTTATTTACAGGTATGTAAATATTGCGACAATCCTTTTTGCCATTGGCTTACCGATAGCCGAAGTTGCTTCTGATAACAAAAACCTCCTTTTATGTTTCTATTTGTTTTTAAAAATAGAGAAGTTAAGACACCCCCCTGTTTTGTTTTATTTATTCTAGGAGGCTATGCAGTATTGAGTATGCCCTGATATTTACATATATATTCATATATTTATATATATATTTGTTTTCTCTAAAAACTAAACCAAATCGTGATTTTATTTCTATTTTTTTAAAAATCTCTCACAGCTCTCAATAAATACACATACAACAGGTAAAAAATAAATCAGGCGGGAGAGAGTAAGGCAGGCTTAATTGACATATATATATATATATATATATATATATATATATATATATATATATATATATATATATATATATATATATATATATATATATATATATATATATATATATATATATATATATATATATATATATATATATACTATAGTAACTAC